TAAGATAAAAATCTTTTTTGTCTTAATAATATAAGAGTTATTTATTTTAGTTACATCAAACTTGTCATTTATTATGTTGATAATTTAATCAATGATAATTGATTAAACAATTTTAGAATTTACAACCCTACTGTTAATAGTTTACGACAAGAGCCACACGATAGCGCTTGAGAAACCGTAAAATCTCCAATCAAAAAATAAATAAACGCGACAGCTAAAATAAGCATAATAAAAAATATCGAGAGAAACTCGTTACATTTTTGTAGTGTGAATAAATATATATATATGTAAAATAAATCAGACTGGATACATATATATATATATATANTATATATATATATATATATATATATATATATATATTTATGTGTATCCAGTCTGATTTATTTGTGACATCGAGAACGCTTAGAATATTTAGCGATTTACGTAAGAAAATATCTTGATAGAGAAAGGAAAGGAGATTGAATTGTAGCTTATTATATTTTTTAGACTGTCTAAAATACAAATATAAAAATATATAAAATAATGTTGGTCGAAAATTAAATAATCGATACAAAACCTCGCAGCTTGTGATTTTTGTTAATAATCAAACAAAAATATAATTTTTACCAAACTTCACAACGATAAAAATGTTTTTAATGAAAAGTTATATGTAATTATATAGAAAAAATAATAAAGTAATATACATCATAAATTATATAATAAATGTTTCTATGTCAGAAATTAAATGAATTTTCTGAGAAAAGGAGCGTTGGTGCGACAACTGTCCGAGATTATGATAGATAGACTACGATTGATAACGCGTATAAACTGATTCAGATAGACGTTTCCCAATCTCCTGTTCACTTCTCAATCAAGAAATGATCTTTCTCTATCAGGGAAGTATCGATCGACAATTGATCCCGAATTTTTTATCGCGAGTCGAAAGCGACTGGGAAAAGCAAGATAACGACTAAATTATTGTTTAATAACATTTTGTAATGATACGTTTATCGGTTATTACATCTTACTCAAATAAAATCGCAACATTTTTCAACGAAAGTACTTGAAAGATGCTTTCTAAAATGCTTGTTTCCGCGCTCAGTGATTTTATTTACTCTTTCTAGACCAAATTTCACCATAGAAAACAAATGATTTTAAATTTATTATCTCGTTTATTTTAAATTACTGAAACAAGAAAACTTTCAAAGTATGTGAAAAAAAAAAAGCGATAGGCAATGCGTGTCGATAAGACGTCAAAGATAAGACGAAGCTAGTGATTAAAATAAAAAAAAAGATGATTCAACTCAAATTCTTTTCCTAAACCTAAACCTAGAACTTTTATAGACATTTGTATGTGTCAGAGCTCTCGGCCTGATATCACGTCTTAAAATAAAACTCAATACTGTTTCGTTCGCTCGTGTGCAACCGCAGTTGGACCTTCGTGCTATCGCAATCGGATAAGCACAGTTCGCACACAACTGTTGGGTCTTTTTGACACACGCAAAGAGCAACGACGGGGCGCCCGTGCGACCAGGCACACGCCTGTTTGGCATGCGAGAGCGCTCCGTGCCACTTGTTGCATGGCCGCGCTCGACACTCGCGTTTAAATAAAACACTTTACGAACTAGAGCGCGCGCACCGCGTCGTTTTCGGGGAAGGGGTTTCGCTTACCAGGACGGCCGGACGGGTCCTCGTCACCCTGGGTCCCCGGCTCGCTCGGCGACGGCTGTTCTTGCACAGACACAGCACCGGTCACTGCACTTGACACTAACGCCGGGTCGCACGATTCGGCCATTTTCAGGTTAACTCTCGCACGGCGTTATTAATCTGCGCGACGCGGCCACTAACCCTTCTCCGTCGGCTCGTCGCGCATTCGAATCCCGGGCACGAGAATCCGGGCCTCTTTTTCGAAACTTCCACGCACGTCTGACCCGCGACGCCAGTAATACGCCGGAATCACGAGAGATACCGCCACCGCTCGACGATTGCGCCGCGCGCTCGCCCGCCATCTTGCGGACAAAATTCGAGCGGGAAGAGATTCGTTCGAATTCGCTATGCGCGCAGGCAAATTTCGTTTTTGACTCGTCGCACTCCTGATATACCATCCATCCGGCATCTCGCATAAACCAAGCACAAAACAAAATTACACACGAGCAAAATTATTCGCGCGGCGTGATGTATCAAATGGAAACTCGAAGCCAAAATCTATTTCGGTAACGACATACGCGTTTACGCCATTTTGGCGTGTCTCCGACGCGACGCGACCGATTCGAAACGTTGCGTCTTCGGAAAATAATCGCGTTTCCGCGATCGCGCTCTTGCGAGCCGATTCGACACGCCGAAACGATTGTCATCTGCGTCCGGACGTTGATTTTTGCGCAAAAACACACTCACCTCTGACAGATTAAAACTCGCGATAAAAACGGGGAGCGAACGAGAGACTTGCGCGCGCGCCCGCCGCGAAGCAGAGATCGGGACTGACGCGAAGTTGTCGCGATTGAGTTTTCGTCAGCGATGGCGGTAACGCCCCTTGACTTTTCGGCGCAAGTATGCGAGTCTGTTTCTTTTTAACGAAAATTCGCGCGTGTGTGATACACTTTCGGATCTAACTCCTTAAAGTACACTTTTACGGAAGATGCAGACGCGTAATTCCGATATTTTATCGACGTACATCACTTTGCTCCCGACACACACACAACGCTCGCGCCCGAAAAATCTTGCAATTTTACGTGAGCGCCGAATCACGGAAGAATTTCCGGGAAGAGCGTGCGAATCAACAAACGTCTCGCTGGTGCGCATCATGGCGGTTCAGAGTGACGCGTGCGCATCGATTCGTTTCGATTGATCACACAAGTCAATCGCCAGTGTACTCCGCTTCGTAGTTTCGGGTTTTTCAATCCCGGATTTCTATCTTCTTGGATTACGATTGATCATCAAATTCGACAGTTCGGTCGCGTTCGGAAGTGGATTATCTTTCTCTTTGGACTCGCAAGTGTGTTTCGCGCGCGAGTGTTGCCGGGAGTGTTGCCACCGAGCAAAGTGTCGTGTTAAATAATTGTATATCGGATTCGAAACACACAATCTTCGTGCAATTGAAAACGATACAAACAATTAACGATCGAGAAGAGCGAGTTACGAGCTAGAATTTTTGTTAGAAGGAAGAGAACGCGCGTCGCACGCGCGCGTTTGTTTACTAACGCGGCGGACGCGAATTCGTGGAAAGCTCGCCCTCCCGATAAAAACATCTCGCGGTCGCTGTGTGTATTATAGCAGTGACGCGTTTGCCACGTCGGTGCGTTGTACATCGCGCGATCAATCGTGATCGATCGTCCCGTGTGATATCCGCTGTTGATCGTCGGAAATATCGCCATTACGGTCGCCAGTCGTTGTTCCGTAGTTTCATTCTGTTTCGTTTTGCGCTTTCCGGTCGCGGCGGCGACGCGGAATCGGACCGCGATCGACCGCGTTCGGAATTGATCGGACGCGTTCGAATCGTCTTCGGTTTTATTTTCTAATGGCGCTTTTCAAACAAGTGGATTTCCGGTGCGCGAGTAGTGCTTGTCGCGAGTGCCGGACAGTGTCGGAAATTCGTCGTCTCTTTGTCGAATATATCAAATTTGAGTGATCGCTTCGCATCGTAGGTTACGCGGTGTTTTCAACCTCGCGATCGAGCGCGAAAAGCGGTGGCTTTGTCCATCGGAGTCGTCTCTCGCAATTGCTCCGAATGTTGTTTCGCAATTGTCGCAATCTTGCTCTCTCGTGAATGTGCGCGAAATAAAAGCGAGATGTCAATAAATTAGCGAAATAAAACACAGTGTAGTGTGTGTGTGTGTGTGTGTATGTGGTGTATATTATACAAAAAAGTGTGGTGTATATATCATGAAGTGATGAGTGATCGGCGGTGTCTCCGAAGTTCATCAAGAGTGGATTAAACGCTAGATGTGATTCACGTAACGAGCGATTGCGAAAACGCGACGCTCCGAACGACTCCTCGTTGGACATCAGAAAGGGTGAAACGGTAATTGTTTTCTATCTTATCTGCCATTTTGTAAAGAGCGAAAGTCTTTCGGAGAAAAGTCGATAAGGTAATAAAATATTTTACCTACCATTGCAAACATCGTCTACTTATCGACACTGTCGGTAAATAACGCGCCGCAACTCCCATAGATGGCGTCACGCGAAAGAATGTTGCACGAAAAACATAAACTTGTTTATGTCTAGAGTCTGTAGAAAGAAGCAACACGTTTTGCGATCATGTCGAATAAATTTCGTGATTCTTTTATCATTATTATTAACCGTTCGCATGTCTGCACACAGAAAAATCACAAACAATCGTCACTTGTGTGTGTGTATCGAATAAATTAAATTATAATTAATAATTAAGTATATAATAAGTTTATACGTCCGTGTAAATATAATCAAGATTTTCGTAAACATTTTAATTTATTCAAAATATAATTTAAATCCTAATAAACCTGATACTTTTATCATGAATGCTAACTAAAAAGAAAAATTCGGTTTACTTATCTAATCTACGTGTGTTTCGAAGTTTTATATTTTTGAAAAAAGAAGTTCCCTATATAATCTTTTTAAAAATTTGTAACAAATATAATTGTAAGACTATTATTAGAAAATATTTTTTGATAAAGTTAACCATTGCTTTAAAAGAAGGAAGATAAATAAAAATTATTTTTTAGTAGTAGAACATTTTTCTGTGTGTAGTATAAGATAAACCACGTCTTATTCTGATATTTGATGCTTTCGCGGTTGAATATTTTATTAACATTCGAAGATGTTTTTCGGATTTGAACCGAAGCAGCCTGATACGGCGTCAGACTGCTCTTGAAACTCTGATGAAGCGAGCTGAAATATTCACGAAACGTCGGTATGAAAATGACACTAACGCGGTTCAAACCCGAAAAACATCTTCGAATGTTATTTAGGTCTTACGTTTATTGGTAATTGGAGTGATAGGAAAGAGAGAAAGAGTGTAATACAAGATACATAAACTTGAATATACAAACAAATAATTTTTACTCTACTTAAAACAAATAATTTTTGCTCTAAAACAAATAATAAAACAATTTTATTCTACTTTCGCACGATTGTGCACGAACATAAATAGTGTAAATAGTAAAACGTGCATATAGAAAAGCAAACGCGAACAAGATGTTCCTCGTACACGAACAGATTGTTGGCCCTGAAAAGGGCCGTTTGGTTAGTTGTTTGTGCTCGTAGTTAAGCTTTCTTCTCGCTCTTCTTCGGCAACAAAACCGTCTGAATATTTGGCAGCGCTCCACCCTGAGCAATGGTAACGCCGGACAGTAATTTGTTCAACTCCTCGTCGTTGCGAATAGCGAGTTGCAAGTGCCGTGGGATGATTCGGCTCTTTTTATTGTCGCGGGCAGCGTTTCCCGCCAATTCTGACACTTCCGCTGCGAGGTACTCCATTACCGCAGCCAAATAGACCGGAGCACCCGCGCCAACGCGCTCGGCGTAATTACCTTTTCGCAGAAGTCGGTGGATGCGGCCAACGGGAAACTGGAGTCCAGCACGATTGGATCGGGACTTCGCCTTGCCAGTCTTCGCTTTCGCGCCTTTTCCACGACCGGACGACATGATGCCAACGCGGTAAAAATTTGAGAGCTTCCACGGAGACGAGATCCGAACAACGGTTCAGCACGTTTTGATGCCTGTTGCTGTTGCGTTGGATATTTATAGCGTATTGTGGTACCTCCGAGCGACCAATGGCGTGTCCCGAACAGACACAATCGTTCTGGACTGGAACTGTGCGTAGCTTCCGATTGGTGTATCCCCACTATTGCTTTGTCGTATATAAGGACTGCGTAAGAGTCGGAAGGACCTTTGATGGTTGAACAGTCGGATCGAGTAGACGTGGCTCTCTGATATTGATGAATTTTATGAATATTTGAGATGCAGGTGACTCATGTCATTTTTTATTACAACAAGTAATATCAGAAGCAAATAATTAATACTAGACAATGTTAATATTAATTAATATTAGATACAATTGAAAGTTATATATAAGATAATAGACTCAGCTCTTACTGGAAGAAAAGGTTTATTTTATATTTTACATAAAAGCATTTATTTTAAACTATTTCTGTTATATAAAAAATTTTATATACATATATATATATATATGCGAAAAACATTCATGAGTTTTTCACAGAGCCTTTCACAATCTTAACATCATCTACTGGTCGATCATTTTTATCAGTTTCAACTAGTCCAATTCTCTTCACTATTGTCATGCCAGAGTAAACTCTACCTGTTAATTAGACACAAAATAGTTTTAAGTATTTATGTAATATACAGTTACACACACATGTATGCAGTTATAAAGAATTTGGGTATAATTCTAATTGCTACTTTGCTGTAATAACATACCAAATATAGTATGTTTTCCGTCAAGCCATTGAGTAGGAGCCAGTGTTATGAAAAATTGCGACCCGTTTGTATCTGGTCCAGAATTGGCCATTGATAATATTCCAGCACCTATAAAAATTAACAACAATACTTTTTATAGTGATTGTTTTGCATCATAAAGCAGACAATACATTTATAAACAGTTTATTAATACAAGACTGACTGAAAAGAGTCACCTGTATGTTTCAAATCGTCATGAATTTCATCGTCAAAAGTTTCTCCATATATCGACATTCCTCCTTTGCCAGTTCCAGTAGGATCTCCACCTAAACATGATAATTAAAATACAATACTGTGTGAAATTATCATACTCTGTCGTATTTTTCAAAAAACCATAAGTCTGTATCTACTTTTACCTTGAATCATAAAATCACGTATCACCCTGTGAAACTTTGTGCCATTGTAGTAACCACGTCTCGTGAGCTCAGCGAAGTTCCTACACGTGATAGGGGCATGCTTCCAGTACAATTCAAGGGTTATTTCACCCATTCTGAGAAAATATAAAATAAAGATCAGAGTCAGAGATGTGAGATCAGAAATTTATACAGAGAAAGAAAAAGAGCGTGCAAATTTTTTACTTACGTAGTTTCGAATGAAACGAACGGTGGTTGCCAATGTTTATCCGGAATACCGGATATATTGGCGAGGCACATTGAGGACTGAATTTTCGATTCTTTTTACTTTCACAATTAAAGAAAAATTTGTCGCGCACAATTACTGCGCTCTCTTCTGTGTGTTTTTTCTCTCATAAACACTTTCTGTATATGAAGGTGCGTATTTAGTTGTCTGTCAAGTAATGTGTTGACTGACACTGATACATAACGTTACAAAACATAAAGCACTCTTGAACACGACGTTGAGAAGAGCTACACGAATGCCATCTCTGTTCTTTACAATTGCACCGTACGTAACGTTTTTTCCGCACTCAAAATAAAACAACCTCACAACCGCTTATCGAGAAAGAAAGAGAGAAGAGTAGAAATAAAGTACAGAAGGTGTAGTAGTCGCGCATAAAGTTAGGAAGGAGCATGGAACAGATCCATTTGTTTCATGTGTTCGAGGTTACACGTCATAATAGCAATAACAAATAAACTGAATGAAAAATGTAAAGCCGCGTTGAACTTACAGTAGGACAGCTTGCATTATAAATGAGGACTTTCGCATGTCGGATTAATTCGTCGAAGCGTTGTACTTCAATCGTTCGGCCGACCGAACGAACTCCCGCACGTGCCGGAACGAGTTAACCTGTATACGAAAAATATGTTCTCGCCGAGGGACTCGGGCAAATCGGATTACATTAGCTTAAATATTCACGACAGCGCGTCGTTTGCACGAGGCACTTCGCGCAGTCTGTGGAGGGTAACGTATACTATATATTCAAAGTGATAATTCGTGACGATTGCGTTTCGCTATTTTTTTTTTTTTTTTGGTTACAATGGGTCATTTAAAAGTATCTTTCTTTGCCTACTCACCCGTTTTCTCACTCGCCTGCCCGTCTCTTTTTCAGCAATGGAACCAATTGTCCAGGTTTCAGAGAAACATGTTATACTTTGCAGTTATCACAGTTTTACTTTTAATATTTTATCTTCTAACTAGTGAAGCCAAAGCTAGTGTCTCTGATAACGAAATAGACTATAATAATATAGAAGTTGTACAGGAAACTGCTAAATATGAGAAGGTATGCAAGAAATAGATAGGGTCTGGAATCTTCATGCAAAATCATTGAATTCCCTTTTGTTCTGCAGGCAGTAGACGAAGTTGTTGTAGATAATGATGAGCAAGGTGCCGGACCTGGTGATGTGATTGAGGAGCCTGAGTTCCAACCAGAGATCAATCAGGTTGACGATGATCAAATTGGTGAACCACCTCAGCCAAAGCCAAACATTCTCAAATTTCACGGTAGATTAAAATTCACAAAAAATAAATTGCAACATGCAAATTACATCACATCAAAAGCAATAATGTTACAATAACACAAGTTACAGTTCAAGATTCTTATTAGGAAATATTTTTTAGGCCCACAAAATAATAGACAAAAAGCTGTTGTAGCGGCATTTCAACATTCTTGGAATGGATATAAAAAATATGCTTGGGGTCACGACAATGTCAAACCAATATCAAGGAGATATCACGAATGGTTTGGCTTAGGTCTTACTATAGTCGATTCATTGGATACGATGTATATAATGGGGTTAAATGAAGGTGTGTACGTAGCGTAGTGTGACTTGATCTCTAAAAAAAAAAAAACATTTGACTTGGTGATCACACTTTCTGTTATATTTCAGAATTTGCGAAGGCGAGGAAGTGGGTGGAAGATAGTTTAGTATTTACAATGAATAGAGATGTTAATTTATTTGAAGTTACAATTAGAGTGTTAGGTGGTTTACTAGCTGCATATCATCTGTCTGGTGATACACTTTTTTTAAATAAGGCTGTAAGTAGCGAGCTAGCAATGATCTTAATCAATTATTATGCGTAAGAATCGTTAAGTAAGTATTAATCTGTCGACCTCGCGCGTTTTTAAGATGGATTTAGGTGATCGCATGATGCCAGCATTTTCCACCAGGTCGGGTGTTCCATATTCCGATGTAAATCTCGGCACCAGAAGTGCGCACAGTCCCAAATGGGGTCCTGACAGTAGTACGAGCGAAGTCACTTCGATTCAGTTAGAGTTTCGCGATCTTAGTCGTAGCACAGGACAATCCAAGTTTGAGGTAATCTTGAATGAAGATTTTCGCGCGACTATTCGAAGCAAGTTAGTGACGAGTGTTATCAATCTGTTGCTGTTCTAGGCTGCAGTCGCAAAGGTTTCCGAGCATGTACATAAGTTAGACAAATACGACGGCTTAGTTCCAATATTTATTAACGCCAACACCGGACAGTTTCGCGAATTTGCAACAATTACGTTAGGCGCTCGCGGCGACAGCTATTACGAGTACTTGTTGAAACAGTGGTTGCAAACCGGAAAAACTATCGACTAGTGAGTATATCTCGCTGAGACAATCGCACAGCTGACTCGCTAAAGAAACCGTGACCTCTCGTCTCGGAAAAAATCTCAAATTCTGTCGTTAATGTTTTAGTTTGCGAGACGATTATTTGTTAGGCATCGCCGGGACGAAGAAACATCTCGTTAAGTACACAGCTGTCAATAAATATTTATTTATCGCCGAGTTGGTCGGTGCTAACAAAGAAATAAGACCGAAAATGGTAAATATATGTAATTTCGATAGGGTAACAAATCTGAGATGAAAAAAGTGTATCATGCACACACATTTGCGAGAGTGTGTAAATTTTATATTTGTAGGACCATCTCACTTGCTACTTAGGAGGTACTTTAGCCTTAGGCGCTCATCACGGACTGCCGTCAGATCATAACTTACTCGCGCAAGAAATAGTTAAGACTTGTTATCAGACTTACGCGATTCAACCGACGTTCCTCGCACCTGAGATTACTTATTTTAATATACAAGTAAGTGTTGTTCAACAAATTAGCACATCCGTGGTCGGAGTTAGAATAAAGAAACAAAATAAACCAGATTTAAAAAAAGCGACCGTTTCCTTGTGCAGAAGGTAGAAGGTGAGAATCAAATGGATATGTACGTAAAAACGAACGATGCGCATAATTTACTGAGACCGGAATTCATCGAGAGTCTATTTTACATGTGGTACTTCACGGGAAACAAGACTTATCAAGACTGGGGATGGCACATATTTCAGGTGAGTCGGACGTTTCAGTTACATTGCGCTCCTCTTGCATTTTATCACGTCTGTAACGAACGAAACGCACACGTCAACAGGGTTTCGAGAATTATACCAAAGTCGATGACGGCTACACGAGTATCGGTAACGTTCGCAACACGCAGCACGTACGCCAGCAAGACATGACGGAGAGTTTCTGGTACGCCGAGACGTTGAAATACTTGTACTTGTTGTTCGATGATACTAGACAATTGATAGATCTGGATAGGTGGGTTTTCAATTCGGAAGGTCATCCGTTACCTATTTACGAGTCGTAAAATCTGTAACGCAAGTAGAGAAGCAATACTATGCGCACGCGTAAGTTCTTTGTGACATTTGTATTCCATGAAATTTATTTTTTTAAAAAACGCCACTAGCTAATAGCGATTAGCAAATTACTAACGATAGTGTTTTTACACGAGAACAATTTTCTTACACTTCTCGAACTCTCACGAGACGTTTCTTCGTTTGGTTCTGGAAAAAAAATTCTTTTTTAAAAAAAAAGACAAAAACAAACAAAACCCAAGACCGAAGACTCAGAGTGCGTTCGCTTTGGGCGCTTACGCGTTTTAAGCGTCAGTTTGTCTTTATTGCTTTTTAAATGTAGAACAAAGATAGACCGACGCGCATGAGCGTCCACAAAGCAAACGCATCTTTATTTGTGTAGAGCAAAAAATTAAAAAAACAAAAAAAACACACAAGTTCTACCTAGAAGAAATTTAACGCTGTATACTACGATAAAGATACGTAATATATACAAGTTATATAAATAATTTGAGAAAATGAACGAAGATGATGAACAACAGTTCTTGGAGCATTTTTCCACCACTTAACAAAATTAAACGCGACACGTTGTTCACTTCGAAAGTACGACTCATTGCACTGATACATACAAGTATCGGAACTACATTTTTTCTTTCTATTTCATCGTCGATAAAATACTAGTTTCGTTAAATAAGCAAATACAATGCGACATTAGTTACGTCCAAACGCCTATAAATCCAACGACTCGATATAATAGACGCTATTAGAAAAAAATAGATTTTTACGGCAATATTTCAAAAAAAAAAAAAATACGTAGATTGTTTGACTTATTGATTATCCAGAAGATTTAGTCAAATTCGTAGCACACGTATCGTTGTACTTACTCATGTTTTGCGAATCTTCAAAGTTTATTTGCAAGCAGGTATATCAGTCTTCAAAACTGTACGTATTAATCTTCCCATCTCAGCGACGTCCTTTTTGCATTGAATTTATACGTTGACACACACACACACACGTATATATATATATATATATATTACAAAATAATCTAGTCTTCATCTACGAATAAATTACATTGTGTAATTGCAATTCGTCTCCGATTTTATTACAAATATTTATATGATATTTATAGGAGCATAAATATTTGTATAAATGTTTCTAGTAAAAAAACAAAAACAAAAAAAGTTACTGAGAAAAGAACATCTATGTGACTGTTGCATGCTGTTGACGAAGCGTGATGGTGATTAAATCACAATTCTGACGCTTGCGCGTTATTATTTTGAAACGTAACAAAGTTATGTATTTTTAATTCTCAATTATCGGGAGATTGCAATAACACGCAAAATGTTGAACGTAAGGAACAAAAGGTAGATGAAATAAAAAAAGTCCCACACAAATGTTGTAAAACGGAAATCTGATTTAATCATCAGCTGCACTGTAGAAACACGCTCTATATTTCTAGTTACTGGCTCATTAAAGAAACAACATTTGTTCTTAGATTTATTCTTCGTTTTTTTTTTGTCTCAATAAACGCATCCTTACATCGATATATGGAGAGTGTGTGGATATTTATTTGCGATATATTTTGTCTTCGGAAAACTTTCGTAAGTGTTTTCCAGAAACACGCATCTGTGAGTTAGCAAATTTACAGAATTATACGATACTATTATACGTCCATAAATGTTCGGAGAAACAACTGTCGCGATTAACACTATCAAATATTACTGAGATTAACGTTATCGTCAAATTGCGAAAAGAAGACGTGTAGTTGGCAACGAACGGTTTACTCTATAATCCGAGAGAGGAAGTACTTGCACAGATAATTGACGATATTTTTTGTCGATATGTATTTTTTTTCTTTTTTTTTGTTTTTGGCAGTGCCTCTTTGCAAAAACTTATACGATATATTCGCAAAAATTACGTTATATAAAAATATACATTTCAATTGTTTCTTTGTCTTCTCAGATCCACACAGTTTTTTTCGTGAGAACAGTCTATTATATTTCGTGCGACGCAAACATCGAAGACTTGTAATCAATAAATATTACAAAACATTTCAACGCGCACTCCTCTTGTTCGTACACCTTGTATGCAAAATTTTTCACATACGTCGCCGCAAATTGTTTTTCTTCCCGCGGTATAAATCTTCTCTCTGTATATCACAAAGTACCCGAAACAACGAGCGGTACTCATTGCATTGTCAAATCCTAAATTTCGCGCCGAGAGAAAAACGAGAACGGAGATTATTGCGGAAACTATCCTTTCCCCTCCCCCCCGTATGGCACAGAAGTTGAACGTGGATATTTGTCAAATATTTTTGTAATCAATACGCAACAAATATTCGGGGAATGTTCTTGAAAAATAATTTGTATAATGCGCTCTACGGGGAGTTACAAGATAACACTGGTCTTTCTCTCCGGGCGGGTATTTAACTAGGAATTCTTGTCAACATGATCTCAGATTATCGTGCACTCGCAGCACTGCTGAGCAAGGTATATGCAGTCGATCAAACATTTGTCCGGCTCGTCGGGCGATTTTTTCGCGTTTATGTCGATGCCGTTCTTCTCGAGCGCGGGCTTCGGTTCCGGTGTGGGTAGCGTCTTCTGCATGATCGGCACCGCCTCCTCGATCGCCTCGGTGTCGGCAGTATTTACGATGGGTTTCGACGATTTTATGGGGGTCGTGATGTCCTTGCTCAACCTCACTTTATCCACCACGTCGAAATCTGTCGTGACTATCGACGCCTGGGGCGGGGGCGACGATTCGCTCGACGACATCATCACGCTGAAACAAACAGACAAATGTTCTCTAATTCGCACAAATTCGCTTTTCGCCGAGAGCTGAAAACAGCAATCTTGAGAAAATCGAACCCACACATTGGCTCTTGTGGCATCGGAACGAGCGAGAAGTGACACAGCGTACGATTTTCGCGACTTGCAACTTTGTTTCGTAGTTTTTCCATGAAAAGTTGACGATGTTCGGATCGAGATATGCAGAGAAATCTGTTGCGGTGAAAATACAGTGTGAGAATCATGGAGAATGAAAAGTGACAGCTCAGCTGTCTCCTAACCGCGAGTAACAGCTCGAGAAAGACCGCTTTCTTTCTCTCTCTCTCTTTCTCTACTTCGGGAATGATTTTACACACTCACTTGACATATCGGACGAATAACCGAGTTCGTTGCGTATTTTACAGGCTTTGAAGTATTTCTCAATACTTTAAATGAAAAAAAAAAAAAAAAAAAAAAAAAACAATAGAAAAAGCAAGTATCATAATTTATTATATTTTTGTGCGTATACATCGGGATAAGGTTCACAACACTCGAAATTCACTGCTTTCGTTTTCGTAACAAACGAATATTTCATTATATGAAGGAAAAAAAAAAAAAAAAAAAAAAAAAAAAAAAAAAAAAAAAAAACATTACAAGCCAAAAGTTAAAATTTTATCGGTTTCGATCTCCATAAACCAGTCTTTATTGTGTCACTTCTCGCTTTCGATGTCATCGAAATACAATATGGCTGCTGAGGAGGTAGCCGACATTTAAGAGAGTTAAGAAAGTTACTTGTCGACGTTGAAACTTTCAATTTTCGATTATTAAGAATGTTAACATGCACACGGAAAATTTATTAACATATTAAATTTCTTGCGTAGAGATTCGCCGGATCGAACGTAAAATTCTTCAGAATTTCGAGACACTCTTGCAAAAATTCTCTAACCTACCACCTGGTCCTTTTGCAAGGGTGAGTTCGAGCTCGCTCTTCCGCGGTTAGAGTGGAGTAAAACGACGCCTGCTCCAACATGACCGTGTGACAGACCTAATTCTCGTTATGCGAGATGCGTTTGTAATTTTATCGGAGCACTTAAGTAAGACGAATGTCTTTTGAAACACTGTATATATAAATGTCCCACAGACGGTCTTAAAACAGTCTCTCTCATCTGATATTAAATGCGTCTACGCGCTCTCTTCTTAAATATTGCCGCCGAGTAGCTGTACGACGATATGCCGTTCTTGGAGGAAAAAAACGTTTGCGGGATGTTAAGTACGTTTTATGATTTCTGAATATACACATTCGTTGATATCGCGCGTTTGTGTAAATATCTTCTCGACGTTTTTCCGTCATAAAATGACTTTATTATTGCGATTGTTTACGAGCGCGATGTGCGTAACCTGCGTCGCATATGCGGTACATCATAATCGCGTCGATTACGTTCCCATTTGATTCGAGCCTCCGCAGCACGTGGTCGGACAACTATTAACGATTGAATACCATCGGCATTCTGTGCGCTAATAGGGGCTAATGAACGTAAACTGGATCTACATTGCATATACAACCATCGTCTAGTGAAATCCGATAAACAACAGATCGTATAATTCTATCGATGGATAGGACTTTTGAAAAATCTTCTCGCAACTTCTTTCTCCTCGCAAAGAGATTGTTTGTTGTTTTAAAAATATTTGATTGTTACGCGAATAACTTTTCTTCACGTCGATCTGTATACAATTATATTTGTATTATTATTATTATTTATATTTTATTTATATTATTATTATTATTATTTATATTTTCAAGAATCAAAAGTCAGAAGAAAAAAATAGTAAGGCAAACGAGTTTCTTTTATAAAACGTAGAAAATCCCATTACAAAGGAACAAGAAACGACAGGCGTACTGGGTTATCCTTTTTTTATTTTCTTTCTGTTGAAGAAGTTTTATCTTCTCTCTTTCTAAAGAAGAAAAAGAAGTGCGAGAAAAATTCCTTCCCTTAAAATAAACCGAAGTTAAGGTATTAGAAGGTTCCTTAAATCATCCGTGCCAATTGTGTTTGTCTAGACTTAGGTCAAAACTTGGAGCGGAACTGCAGATGTTTTTTTTCGAAAGCAGCTAAAATTTTTGTATACCTACTTGCTTAAAAGAAACTATTTCGTAAGCCCGGTAAAGTTACGTTTGCTTCGTCGACCATAAAATTGCAAAAGAATTCACGACGACAAATCTTGTCTTTGTCGGAGAAATTTTTGCGATTTCTTCGTACAAACGAAACGAATAATGTTTCACAAAGCAATAAAAAAAAATTTATATTGACAAACTGATAATTGATTTGATAGAGTTTAGTTTTTTGGAAAGCCTTGGAGCAAAATCTCGCGATCTTTTTTTCACGTGTCTTTAAATGGAATAAAAAAAAAAAGATAAATTATCGCGATAAGAGTATTTACATGCACGCGATGTACATTACAATATACTAAGGATGTGTTTGTGATGCAGATCTTTCTATGCTTTTTTTGTCTTGAATACCTGAATTGTCTAATCTAAAGAAACGAGGTCCGATAGTATCGGTACTCAGTTGCACAGAGATAACGCACCACACAAATTCCGATTATGCTTTCTACCGAATCGATTATTTGTTCTAAGTACAAATTCAATAAGTAAGTAACAGACGCCTCTTTTTTTACAATTTTTAATTAATTTTTTAGACTGAAGACTAGATGGAAAAAATGATCAAAACGTTGTTTAAATTTTCCATTTTATAAATTCTTATTAGATTTTATTTTCAAACAATATTACCGCATTGTTTAAATTTCTCAATATAAGGAATTTTTGTCGAAAACGTAAAACTTTGCTTTTAGGAAAAAATCGAGAGCAAAAAAAAAAAAAAAAACAGTGATAATTAAACGGTAGCGAACGACGCGCGCGCATATCATTACAGCTGCGGCGATGACAAAAATGTAAATTAAATTAGTAGTTATAATTAAATTAAAGTTGATATATTGAAACTAACTTTTGTCGGTAAACCGAAGATGAACACGCTATTTATAGAATGTCCTTCTACAGAGTGTAAATATATACGTATATTTATTATATATATGATATGTCACATTCGCTGAATCTTGATATATTACACTATGCGTGCTCAACAACGAAATGCAAATAGCTCACGATAATTAGAAGCCCGCAACACATTGTTGCGTAAGCGTACATATGTATCGTATTTTCTATTATTTTCAACAATGAGCTCCAAGTTTGCCAGATTAATCGATTTCATCTCTAACTGCACCGATATTTAGTTTTTTTTTTTTTTTATTTTGTACGTTATTTAATGTAAATTTACTTTTTTGATCGGCAAAAAAATAGCAGGTAACGATAACGGCATAATTTCGTACAGTTCCTCAAGAATTCCTACAAGCATCTGAGATTGCGGGAATCGTTTTCTTTGTGTGTAAATATTCTGAATAATTAGAAACACGAATCACTAGAGTTCACACATCGAAAATCCGAGCGCGATTAGATTGCACGTAACCGAAAACTTTGAGTCGGACTCGCTGGAAAGAAAAAAACGTATACCGGTAATGCAACGAAAGCGCGCTGCAACCGCGTCAACGGTCGTCGTGAAACTGTCCGGCCTGAACCCTGAGAACGGTATCCCACTCTAGATGAGCTTTACACGTGTATACCATAGTGCCGTGTACACGGGGGAGTACACGGACAGAGACACGACACGGACGTAAAGTCCGTGACGTTAGAAAATTTATCATCATTTCTTCGGGAAGTTGAAAAAAGAGTTGATTAAATTAACTTTTAGAGAAATTAGTTAAACTTATTTTGACGCATTTTCAAAAAGTTTATTATCGCATAAAAATAATTGCTTGTAAAATTAATTAATTGAACTGTAATCTTGATTAACGATAAAAAATTGTGATTAAAACAAAAAAAATGGAATGATGACGCGACAAGAATTAAAAAAGAAAATAGAAATTTTATAAAATAAATAGTTAAACCAGAATAGTTAAACGCGTTGTAATTATAAATATCAGTTTATTAATTTATCAGTTTATTAATTCATCAGTTTATTAATTTTATTTCTCAGTTTATAAATATTATATCAACATATGTATACATATGTTGTATTATTATGCAGTTTCATACATGTTTGAGACATAAAACAAACTATATGGATAATAATAATAATAATTTTATATTATCGCTATAATATGTTGAGATGATATTTATAAATTACAGCGCGTTTACCTATTCTGGTTTAACTATTTATTTTATAAAATTTCTATTTTCTTTTCTAATTCTTGTTGCGTCATCATTTCAAATTCTTTTTGTTTTAATCATAATTTTTTATCGTTAATCAAGATTACAGTTCTACACTTATTAATTTTACAAGCAATTATTTTTATGCGATAATAAACTTAATAATAAAGAAAATAGAAATTTTATAAAATAAACCAGAATAGTTAAACGCGCTGTAATTATAAATATCATCTCAACATATTATAGCGATAATATAAAATTATTATTATTATTATTATTATTATAATAGACGTCCGTGTCTCTGTCCGTGTACTGTGTTGTATTTATAGAATTATATAAGTATTTATTTCGCTTATACATGTTTATATATTTTATGTGTATGTATACACATAACGAAGACATGTTTCTCGAGAGAAATTTTGTAAATCCATTAAGAGATAGAAAAACTTAATTTCTTATATGCAAATTTATTAAATGAAACGAAAGATTCTCTTCTATACATTTTATGTATATATACATGTACACAGCGCGTCACTGAATCGCGGAATAGGTGCGGGGATCGGAGAGCAAGCGGGCTGTACGATTCGTACGGCGCTTGTTGGCGAGCAACCGCTCCGCTTGCCCTCCGATCCCGCGCCTATTCCGCGATTCAATGACGCGCTGTGTACATGTATATATACATAAAATGTATAGAAGAGAATTTTTCGTTTCATTTAATAAATTTGCATATAAGAAATTAAGTTTTTCTATCTCTG